TTAAAAATGTTTTTAATTCTTCAAAGCGACATTCTCCTTGAATTATTGAAGAACTTGATTTATTCATGGATCGCATGACCGTACTTGTTGATGGAAATGTCAAGTTTGCAGCAAGCGTTTCATATGCAATTCTTCCTCCCGTCATAAATATATAGCTTGAAAATTGTTTTAATTCCTCATCGTATCTATAGCTTCTCTTATTTCTCGACAGTTTTTCATGTGACGCTTCATTTAATTTTTTCAAAAGAGTGGAAGAGGATTGCTCTGCTTCTGCACGAGATCGAACATTTTTTAAATCAACAGAATGATTCGTTCGGCAATTAACCTGCGTATTTATTCCCCCTGTTGTTTGTGCACCACATTCAAAGAATTATTTATCAGTCCTGCAAAACCTGAATCCACCATTGCGTTTCGTGTACTTTGGTCCTTGCCAAAGGAGTTGGATTCATATCTTTAGAACGAAAGTTTTTCATTGTATGAGTCGAGGTATGAGATTCTGTTTTTTTGACGTGATTATTTAGATGCCTATAAAAGTTAGACGGTATCCATTTGTACGTTCCAGTTTTCTGTAACCCTTTATTAAAACAACATACCAAATCACAAATAGGACATGTTACACGAGACACGTATGTGAATGAAGTCAGGGGATTTTGAGCATTTGCTACACCTATAGCTTCAATCTTCATATCCGTCAATTTTCCTTGTGATTCCAAATAACTCAGTTCCTTTGACTTTTTTATGTATAAAGAAATCAAGTCTAATAATTTTCTCTTTTCTCGTTCAGTATCGCATACAGGTGGATTTACTGGAACAGCGCGAGGATTGGTCAGTGTCACAGTGGAAAGCGAGTTATTTTCTCTTTGGTTTACAGGAATCGTAGAAGCTAATTTTAGTTTTTTACTCCATTGCGACTGCTTTATTGAGTTCACGTATCTAACTACTTCCAAAATATTTGGTTTTACGCCACTCAAAAAACGAAAACTTTGTGGGTTGTTACGAAATATTCCGAAATAATTTTCAAGGTTTTCACTGGCATTCAGAAATGCAGGCAAATCATTTGCAACATAGGATGGCAATTGAATCGCAGTTTCTGACTTTCTGACAGTGTGCCCTAATCAACGTTATTTTTACAAGTGCATGTGCAACATTAGTGTAAATGTGTGTTACAATTTATAAATAAATCAGTAGTTAAAATTTGACTCATAGACGACAAAAGATTCAGGAAATATATTGTGAGTGAATGTGTAAATTTAACTTCAACAGTCCAGATTGGTAAGTCTCGCATGTTTTTTCTTGAACTATTATAATATTGTGACAGGAAGTACTCATTCCCCTTTTTTATACACTTTTATCTCAGTTGTAAATAATAATGGCAACGTCCGATCAACTTACAAGCCTACATAGGCTACGCGGAGCTTTAAATACTAAGTTAACGCGTTTTGAAAACTTTCTAAAGCAGCCAATTGATAATATCGATATAATAGAGTTAAACGTTAAATTAACTAGTGATGCATATCGAACCAAGAATTGATTGTTATTGATTGATTACGCTTGACAATTGAAAGATTTGTCAATATGAAGTTATCGATCATTACATAATTCGATTGTCTTGTTTATATGTCAAACGCTCGTGATTTTGATGAGTTTACTTCGAAAATAAAAATGTCAACGAAAAGAAAAAATCCTGAGGAAAATGTCCCAGAAGAAGCAAATGAAACTGATCAAACTTCTCAAAGGTATTAAATTTAAACGAATAATGTGAAATAAAAAATAAAAAACTCTTATAAAAATTTAAATTAACTAAATAAAAGGTGCACTATTTATATTGGGTTAGCTTTCATTGATTAAATTTTTGTGATCAATTCACCTAAGCCACTTTTTGTATTAATTTCTTTATTTAAACCCAATTAAATAAGAGATTTCATTAATTAATTACTTTTTCTAGTAGTCATTTTATACTTTTCATATTAACATTATTTCTACCTAAATATTTAGTGACAAAGAGAAAAAATTTCGAAGCAAAAGAAGAAAACATAATGGGAAATCTTTGACAGAGTCTTTCGATTTTTTTCAAGGAGATGAATCTAAAATGGGTCGGTGCAAATTGTGTCCCCAGATTCAAATATAGAAGGCCCATCTGTTATAAAAATGACAAATAGCAATACAACCGGGTTGAAACGTCATCTTCGTAAATTTCACATTGAGATATTTAAAGAAACATATCCTGAGGAAGAAGACTCTTCTCAACCAAAAAAAGTAAATTTGTAAATAGTTTTTTGTGAAATGTATATATGCAAAAAAAATTTAAAACTTAAAATATAGAAAAATTAAATTTTTCGTAATATAATTTAATAATAAAAAAATATATTCAATAGCAAAGTTATAATTTCGCCATACCCAGATTGTTTTGTGATTTTCTCAGGTTTTTTATATTTTTTCGTATTTTATTTTATTTTTTATAAAATTTTGATTAATTTAAGGGGACACTGGGACAACATTTTCAGCTGTATAAAAGTATTAATTTAAATTTTGAACAACAAAATTTTTATACTAATTTTTTGGGAATAATTCAATGGCTATGAAAAAATTGAGTCAAAGAATTTTTTTGACCATTTTTGGAAAATCGAAAATAATCCATTTTTTGATGAACATGAAATATTTCAAAACTTATTTCACTTTTATAAAAAAATAAATGCCTATTCTATTTCCGATTTTCGAAAAATAGTCAAAAAAATGTTTACTCAATTTTTTATGACCATTGAATTCCTCGTAAAATATTAGTATAAAAATGATTTTGTTTAAAATTTAAACTATTTCCTTCATATTGCTGAAAATGTCGTCTCAGTCTCCCCTTAAAAAATAAATATTTTTTATACTCTTTAGAGGTAAATTTAGAACATATTGATAAAAATTGACTTAATTCTCACTCCCCATTTACTAATTTCAGTTATTTAATCAAGAAATTTTTGAGAAAAATACTGTCGACTGGATAGCAAAGAAATTTCTTCCCTTCAGCTTTTTTGACGACGATGACACTCAAGCGTATTTTCATTATTTAAACCCTACAGCTGATATTCCAATGCATAATCGTTTACGGAATTTAACTGAAAGTAGATACAACTAGATGGAAAAAATCGGTATGAAAATATTGTATAGCAACTCCTCCAAAATAGCGTATACTATAGATGGATGGACATCGATTGCTCACCGATCTTATTTTGGAGTAACTGCACATTTCATCAACGACGACTGGCAACTTCACTCGCTTGCTCTATTTTTCTTACCCTCTAACGGAAAACACGCAGGAAAAGAAATTGCAGAAGTTTTTAAGAATGCCCTTGGAACGCATAATTTGGATAGAAAAATTGCAGGTATCACTGTAGATAATGCTTCTGCCAACACAACTTTCGTGAAAGAATTGTCTCATTTAATACCGAACTTTAATTACATCGATAAACACTTCAAGTGCTGGGCCCACGTTTTCAATTTAAGCGTTCAAGACCTGTTGAAAATATTAAGAATCGATTCAATTAAAAGCATCGAGGAAGAAGACAATTTCGAGGAGGAAGATGTCGAAGAGGAAGTGGAAAATGACGATGATGAAGAAAATGAAACAGACGATGATTCCAATCTAGTGTTTCCTCTGTTCAAACTTCGGAAAATATTTAAATTGTTGAAGAACTCTGAGCAGTGGAAGGAAAAATTATCCAGTTGCTGTGACATTGTTGAAGAAAAAATGCTCCAACCTCCCATAGATGTTTTTACACGCTGGAATTCAACATTTGATATGATTATAACTGGTACCCGGATGCAACGTGCAATTACTTTGCTTTGTCAAAACAACTCGAAATTGCAAAAGTATATTTTATCTGAATATGACTGGGAATTATTAAAAAATATTAGCGAACATTTGATTCATTTTAAAGTTCTTTCTCAAGCACTTAGTGGCGAGAAGTATCCCTACTGAAAATTCCTGTACAAGATCTTGTACAGGATCAGCAACTGAACTTGTACAGGATCTGGTACAAGAAAATAATCTTGTACTGGAAAATGTGCAATTTCCTGAGTCATGTAATCAATAATGAAAGTTCATGTGCAAGTTCCTGTACATGTTCCGTTATACCTCCAAAATGAAGGGGATACACTTGTTCCAGAAAATGCTCAATTTCTTGAACGTGATCACGGTAGTTTCTTAGGCACAATTTTGAAAGGGTGTTCATGAACATGTTCCCGTACAAGTTCATGTACTGGATCTGGTGTAATTTAATGCGGAAAATTTCTCCCATGCAAGATCCCCTACAAGAAATTGTGCAAGAACATTTACTGAGGCTGGGAGGAAAATTTTCTTATCCGGTACTTGTACAAGATCCTGTACAAGATCACATATTATTTCAGCATTATGGAATTTTCCTTTTGTTATTTCCTGTATGGTTTCCTGTACGGTATCCTGTACATGAACTTGTGCTGTTTCCTATACAAGATCATGTACAGTTTCTTATATTAATATTTTGATATTGGAAAGTTATTTATGTGGCAAGGGCGCAAAAGTAGGGGAATCGAGACTGGGGTGAGTTTGACGCACGAGCGAAGCGAGTGCGACAATCACGCATGTCGGGATTCCCCTATTTGCGCCCATGTCCCATACATAATTTTTTATGACATTTTGCGTCAAAAACTCGACTAAATTGTTGTGATGGAAAAGGAAAGTTTGCGTAAAAGTACGATTTCCCCTCCTTTTAAGCACTAGTGCGTAAAAGACAGCGATTTAGTCGAGTTTTTGACGCAAGGTGTTATAAAAAAGTAAATTTTTTTGACTAATTTTTAGCAAAATTTACTAAATCGGTGATAAAAATTTATTAATTTTTATCACCATTGCAATAATTCCTATAAATTATTACCTGGATTTAAAGGTTTAATAATATAGTAACATGATAATGACAATCTTTTTTAAAGTATAATAACAATAATTAAATAGTGATAGGTAGGAAATGAAAAAACTATTTAAGAAAGAAGTATTCTTTTATTATATAAAATGTTTATATACATATGTAAAGTTTTATGCCTTCTCAGGACTAATAGAAAAATAAAAAATGTTTATAGAGGGTATAGCGGCTAACCATTAGTTACGACTAATATTTTTATACATATGCATATTCTTTTGCCCGTTCGGGATTAAAAGATAAATACAAAAAGGGTTTATAAATTGTAGATAACCATTAGTTATAAATAAATTTTATATACATATGTATAGTTTCATGCCTTTTCAGGGCTAATAGAAAAATAAAAAATGTTTATAGAGGGTATAGCAGCTAACCATTAGTTACGACTAATATTTTTATACATATGCATATTCTTGTGCCCGTTCGGGATTAAAAGATAAATATAAAATGGGTTTATAAAATGTAGCAAACAGTTAGTTATAATTAATTTTTTTATACATATGTATAGTTTTATGCCTTCTCAGGACTAATAGAAAAATGAAAAATGTTTATAGAGGGTATAGCGACTAACCATTAATATTTTTATAATATTAATATTTTTATACGTACATATGTATAAAGGGGGCAAGAGTATTCTTGTGTCCCTTTGGGAACTAAGATAAATATAAAAATGGTTTATAAACTATAACAGCTAACCATTAATTCCTTGGGTTATTGGCGTCCTCGATATTATCTGTAAGGAAATATATGAATATAAATATGTTTCTTTATATGTTCACGAAGAAATACAAACTGCTATTAAGAGTGGGAAGAGTTCCGGAAATAACTTCCGGAAGTGATTTTCAGAATTTTTCAAAAATAAATTTTTTGATGGCAATTTTTCGGAAATTTGTTTTTGACAGGAATTCTTTGGAAATAAATTGTGAAATAAATTTTTTGGTAATCGCTTACAAATATTTTCGATTCTTACAGTTAGCGATATTCGAGGAAAGGATTGTTCTTAATATTTATCCAAGTTCAATCTGTTTTTTCTGTAAAATTAATCCAAATATTAACCGTTTTGAAAGTTATTGATGGTTAACTTTGTCATGAAAGCTAACACTGACAAGTAAAAAATTAACGTTAGTTGACGCTACTAACGCTACTAACGTTAGTCTAATGTTAGACTAACATTAGTATCCAAAAAATTTCCTTGAAAAAAATTTCAGCACATTTTTTTCAAGGAAATTTTTTGGATACTATAGTTAGAATACCATTAGTAACATTAGTCCCATTAATCTTCTATTTCCATTTTTTCTAATGTATTCCAATTTATTTTTTTTTTAAATTTAATAATTGAATAGTAATAACAGAGTTGAATTTTAATACAAAAAATATACTTGCATATAAACAATAAATAAATTTAAAATTAAATAATGCATTTTTTTTAAATCGATAATTCAAGCGAAATTAGCTCTGAAGTCCGTGAAGATTTGCCGTATATATTTTTCTAAATTTTAATTGTTTATACATAAAAATATATATGTTCTTTCTAGTCTAAGGACTATTTTTTAAGTTTTTACTTTTTATAAAAAAATAAATTATTGTTTTCCATTTTTGGTTATATTGAGGCATCATTTTAAACAAACAACATAATTCCTAATGGTTTGACATTTTTATAATTAAAGATTTTCAAAATAAACGAAAATTAAATATTTTTTAGTGTTATTTGTTATTTATTTAATTAATATATTTTCCAATTTTGAAAAAATGGCGTAATTAATATTAAAATTCAAAAAGATTTATTGAAATCCGATATATACATGGAATTTCTGTGAAATTTTTAATGGCATAATAATGAAGTTACCTTCCATTACAAAGTTAACCATCAGTAACTTATAAAATGGTTAATACTTGGTTTAATTTTACAGAAAAGACAGAATGAAATTGGATAAATATTCAGAACTATCATTTTCTCGAGTATCACTACTCTCTAAAGAATCAGCGATAAGTATACCACTGGTACCAATCAGCGGATATACGCTGAAAAATCAGTGAAATTCCACTAATTCATCAGTGCATATAAGCTGATTAGAATCAGTGGTATACTTATAGCTGAGAATCAGCGAGATTCCGCTGATTCAAATTTAGAGAGTAAGTATAAAAAATTTTTAAGAAGAATTTCTGTCAAAAAATTAAGTTCCGAAGAATTTCCTGCAAAAACTTTATTTCTGAAAATTTTCCTGAAATCTTTCCACGTGGGATTATGATAGTTTTGTTTTTGTAATAATTTCATATTGTTCACAATATGGCATATCACAATAAGGAAATCGTTCTGCTCAAAACGTAAGTTTTTGTGAGTAGGCTACTTTTTAGTTTTATACTGGTTAAAAAAAATCTGCTCCCAAAAACGAATTTATTGGTTAAAATGCAAGTAGTTTTGTAACACTAAAGTTGTCTGTCTCAACAGTCTGGCCAATTTTACTTTTTTGACATTTCTTTCATTTTCCTGACCTATAGCAACCCGGCAATTGTATTCACTGGAAATCTATGTATTTTTCTGTCATTTAAGGCCAAGTTACCGTAGTGAAAAATTCAGTATTTAACTGGGATCTTTCCTTACTTAAACTTTTGTAGGATTTTCCAGTACAGTATTTAATGGCCACGTAACCCCAAATGTTACCGCGTCTGATAAAAGGGTGCTTACAATCAAAATCAACTTTTCGAGTAAAATGCGTTTAAAGTTTTTCATTAAACTATCCTCTATTTCTGGAAATCCTGGAGGTTAATACTTATCTAGTTACGTCTTTCTTATGTAATTTTTTCCGCTGAGCACGATTTTCGCCATAAAAAAATTATCCAAACATTATCAAATTATGTTGCAAAAGTCAAATGATTAAAATTTCAAATCGAATTTAAATCATTTCTAGATGACCTATAGAAATCTGAAATGTACATACATTCAGAACTAACAATAAAGCCATAATCCATAATTAATGTACTCAACTAGGTAGCCGATAACGGGTATATCTGGGGGTCATCTCCGAGAATTCAGGTTTAATTTTTCGCAGAACTTTTTAATATTTATATTTGAGGTTACACTGAAAAAATTAAAAGCACTTTGCTGTCCTTGTAGAGAGAGATGCTTTCTTTTATTGGTGAAAGCAATATACGCTATAAGAAGGAACGCAGTTACACTGTTAAGAGCGAACTGATACTTTTTTAAAGGAGTAGCTGATGCCCTTTTTTAAAGTAGTATGTCGAAGGGTATCTGCTGCCCCTAAGAAAAGAATGATGCTCGCTGTCTGCGGTTAACTGCTAGTCCTTATAACAGAGCGAGCTGCTGTCTCGCAATGAAAGTAGCAAGGCGCTTTACATTTTTTCGATGTAGGGACAATGTTTCCGACACTTAGAGGACCAGATCGCCGATGATCTTAAATTGTAAGAGACAAATTATTATATTTCTTAAAAGAAACATTTTTTCATAAAAAAATTTTGTTTAAGAAATTTTTTTTTTAATTTACTTAAAAAATGAAAAAAACAATTTTTTGCGACCGGAACTAATTGCATCACATTTTTAAGACCTTAAAGTGCAATAAACCGTTAAGAAAAAAAAATCGATTTGTTTGTCGTAAACACTCTTTTCTCAGACGCGGTCACACATGCGAGACCATTGAGTGACATGAGTTTAAGTGTTCACATTAAAAATAGTTTAAGTTTGTTGTAATTAACATAGACATAATTAATACATTACCATGCTCTTCTCTAAATCGTCGTAAATTGCGGATCTCCTCAATTGTTATTTTCGTCTTATTTAGGTCAGTTATTTTCTGAGAAATCCGTATGTTACAGTATTTAACTATATATGACCTGATAAAATGCTTGTCTGGCGATCTCTTTTTTAATCTGCGTGCAACAATATCTAAAACATAATTAAATAATTAAAAATTGATTTCGTAAATTTTTAAATAGGATTCTAGAATTTCAAAGTCGTGTTCAGAAATTGTGGAAGGGCGTGCTATAAAATGATTGCTACAAAAGTCTGATTTTAAAATTCTATGATTTTTCTATGTTTTTCAGATCCAATTTTTCGAAATTTCTCGGTTAATCACATACATTAAAATTAGATATATTAGCAAATATTTAACGTAAACATAATATAACGCATTAGTAGATATAACAGAAAAGTTGAAAGAGTTGATTTTTTAAATTTCTGATAAATTTTATTATTTAAAAATTTTTCATTAATTATTATTATTCTTTCACAATATTTTAGAATTAAACTACTAAAAATATTCATTATTTTTTTATTTTTAAACAAACTTTCAAATTTCTCTTTTCTTAAAAATTTAAAATGTCATGAAAAATTTTTTCAAATCAAACTTTCAATAACATTTCTAAGTTGGCAGCGCCCAAAAATTTTTGAAATATTTTTTATTGAAATATAATTCTTGTTCAATTTTTAAGTAAAATTACTATTATATAAATTTTTGAAAATAGAAAATATTTCAAGATTAAAACTCAAATTTTAAAAGCAAGTCTAACTTCATCAATAATTTTTAAAAAATTGTTCAAAACTTATTACAATACATTCTTTGTAGTTATATATTTTTTTAAATTGTAGAAACAAATTTTTAATCTAGAAAATCTGGTATTTGTTGAGAAAATTTACAAATAATAAAATAAAATAATAATTGTAAATAATGAAAATTAAATTAAATTCCAGCTTATATTCTTTAATTACATGATCAGAATTGTCAAAAATTACTTTTTGAAATAATAGAATATCATATTTTTATGAAATTGTACATTTTATGTAATATTTTTGGTTAAATTATCATGGTGACATCGACAAATTGAACAGCCTCGGTAATTGGTACATTTACCCTATTATCTGTCAAAACCTATAAAGCAACAAAACCATAAACAAAAGTCTAACTCTAGGTGTAAAAAGAATAAAAAAAGAATGAATACAACGGTAGGGGATCTAAAATACTGCGATACGCATTCTGGTAGTAAATTTCCACTGAAACAAATGTTTCGAATGTTAACGGTTTTAGTCAAAGGAGAACTGAAAAAAGGTATTATTTTTTAGTGTTAAAACACATCTGTTTACTAAAATTTTCCCCCAGTCGATCATATACTTATTTTAATGACGTTATGATTTCAGATCCCTATTAATGAATGAAAAATATCACCTAAAAAAGATGTCTGTAAAGTTGTCATCCCACTTTAAGAAAAACATTTTTTTAGAGTTGCAGGGTGTCCAGCGAAACTTAAGAAAAAAATTGCCTGACTTTTTTCTGACCTTTCTTCTGCTCTTTTGTCAAAAATATTTCATATTAAAAGAGAGGTGTTTTAATATTGAAGAATTTTTAAGATAATGCAAAATATTTTCTTTATTATTATTATTATTATTATAATTTTTATCTTATTACACAGGCCTGCAAATTTTGAGTCATGTCTGTTATAAAAAAGGGGAGGAGATTCTTATTTATTTATTTTATTTATTTAGAGAAATTTATACGGGACACAAAGCTCTTTACAAAATATTAATATTAATCAACAACATAATACATGGTCTCACGCTCCTTATATTTTTTAACGCTAAATCTGAATGTGACCTCAAAAATTTCCCATTACATCAGGATTTTCTGTAATATTTTTGTGATTTTTTTGTTGTTTACCATTTTTTTTTCTAATTTTACGATATAGATAATTTTATCGATATTTTATGAAAATTGTGTTATTCTTTTATTATTATCACTTTCCTTATATTGTGACGTTGTAAAATTTACAATTTTACAAATCACAAAGGTTTCTTTAGTTGTCAATATATTAAATCACTTTACTTTATTATTCCCGAAAAAGATAATTTTAATATCAAAAATTTACTAGACGAAATCACATTATGGATTCGAGAAATGGAAAAATCTTATTTAATAATAATTTAATATTAAGAATTAATGTCTGTAATCCCTTTTTATTTATGTATTTTGGAGCCAATGTTCAACTGAAACAAGAAATTAAGAAAAGTATCAAGATTAAGAAAACTTTAAGAAAAATTGATTATATTGAATATTTTGTATTGATCAACCTAACCTCAATTTTTGATGTCATCAATGACTGGATATTTCTGGAATTTATTATCAAAATTTGGATATATTTTATTATTTAATTTGGATTCTTGAATATTCACTTCCGATGTACCCATTAATTGGATAATTGAGAGATGCCAAGTATTTTCACGTTTTATGCAAATATCACCCTGAGAATATTATTGACTTCGTTTCTTGGCGAAACACTCGAGATTATTATGATTTTTGGAAGGCTTCTTTATATTTTTAAATTGTTATTTGAAACTTCTGTTGCTGCGGGTAGCCAAAGCCCATATAAAATGTTTCATATTTTGGATTTATGTCAATTTGAAGTTTGAAGATTTTTACTTAACTGTGGCATTATCTTTGGAAATTTCAATATTAATTCCGAATTCATGAATATTTATATTGGAGAAGAACTATAAAGATTTACCATCTTGCGTCGGATTAACGTATTTAAATCGTTAATCAAGAAGAAGTATAATTATTATTCAAGAAAACAATTTTTATCAACAACTTTTATTATTGAATTTGAATTTCGCACTTGATCAATTTGGACCAATCAGCGTCAAGATATAGATGAAAATCTTTTTACCGACCGTCGAACTTTCTTTTTTTGTCCCGATCTTTTTATTTTTTTTTAGATATTCATTTTTTTTGGTTGGCAACGAAAATCTCCTAGGTGAAAACAAACAACGTCTTTTTTATTCATTCTTTAATGTGATTTCGTATAAACCTGACGCTTTTTCTCAATTGTGTTATCGATTTTGATTTTTTTTGAAAATCTCAAATAAAATACGTTTTGGCCATTAATTATTACAATTAAAAAAATAAAGGAAACATCAAAAATAAAAATATAAAGATTCAAAAATAATAAAGAGGAATTATTTGGAAATAATTAAAGGAGATATTCGACGTCAGCCATTTTGAACATCAATTTTTGGAATTCTTTGGTAAAGTTTTGATTACTATATTTACGAATGATATTTCAAAATTATTTAATTGTTTGAATTCTTCAATAGTGAATTTTCTTTAGATTTGAATTTAGATTTAATTTTCTTTGAATTTTAATTTGAATTTAATCTAAAATGATTTCTTTCAAATGTAATTGATTATTTTATTGATTTTTTTGGAATGATTTAAGAATGAATTTAATTTGATTTTTGATTTAAAATTGATTGAAATGTCATTCATATAATTATTCTAATTATTTTGTATCCATTCATTCTTTTTCCATTTTCCATTCCTCGAATTTAAGAATCCTTATTCTTTTTAAAGAAAAGAATAAGTAGTTATTCGCTTTTAATTTACATTGTATCGAGACAAAGATCAAAAATTTTTTTTATGATGTTTAAAAGAAAATTTAAATAAAGAAATTTATTAATCTTTTGTTTACAAAATATGATATTTTATTTAATTTAATTTAAAAATTAAATCTTTTCGAATGTGGCTTTTCGAACCGCCCTCTCTACTGCTAACCAAGAATTGGGACTGCGGCAGGCCGAGTAAAAGGAAGACTATTTTTAATTTAATGTGAATCTCGAATCTTTTCTTTTTGCCCCCTTTGAATTTCCTTGATTGTTAAACTGTCAGTCTTTGAGTAAAAGCCTGGTGGCCGTGTGTACTCATCAGACTAATTTGACAATTAAGAATAATTTTAATTTAATTATCGAATTTGACAGTCTCCAAAAATAATTGCCTGGTGGCCTTGTGTATTTTTCCAGACTAATTCGCCGATTAAAGAAAATTTATTTAATCAATTTAATTCTTTTGTCCCTTAATTATTTATTTATTTTTATTTTGTCCCAAGAAAGGACTGGCGCCCAACAATTTATTCGAGTCTTCCCTTTTGTAACTATGATTTCATTAATTGATTTTCTTAACATTCAGCATCATTAATAAAAATCATTTTTGGTTACAAATTTGGCGCCCAACGTGGGTAAATAGCCAAATAAATTGAGCAAATTAAATCTAGCTTATTCGAAAAGATTTTTTTTTTTATTTTTTTTTTTTTTGAATATTTCTTTATTTAATTTTTGACTTGAGATTTTTCATTAACGACAATTTATAATTAAATAAATCAATTTAATTAATTTTAAAAATATAATTTTGAATGATAAATTAATATTATTCAAAAGGTCAACAAATATTATTTTGATATCTTCATCCTAACCAACAAATATCTTTTCCCAATTTTGACATTTGAGGTTATAAACATAACCTTAACACAAAAAAAAATATTTTAGATTTGATCTAGTGACTCTCGATTTTAATTTACAATGGCGTGTAGTAACGATCCATTTGCTTGGATTTATGAATTAGGTAATGCGGAATTAGGTGACGAACTACGTGATCGTGGTTTGACAGCTGTCGGAGCTGTTGCTGCAAAGCGAAATAGGCTTTTAAAATTTTTACAAGCTGAAAATACTCAGACTCCACAGAATCCCATTGAAGGAGAAGCTTCAAATCGATTACATAATCCAATCGATATTAACGCTTCATCTTCACAAGATGATTTTTTAGGTTTTGAACGTCAACCCAGTACATTATCGAGCAATAGAATGATTAACGTAAATTCAAGTCTAGTTTCTTTTGATAATTCATCAACACATAACCCTCTAAATACGGAATCAACTCGTACATCACGTCACAATTTATTAGATTTTGACATTCCATCAGGTATCTCAAATGTTGATAGGTTAAATCACAGACCTAATGAAGAAGGTTCAGCTTCACTCGAAAATCCTTCTCGATCAATTTTACGAAATGAAAATTTAACATTTTTCCTCGTAACGATAGAATCCAACAAAATCTTTTTCCAGAA